CACTTCAGTGTGTCCATCTCCACTACAGGACAACAGCCTACTTATAAACGGGCGGCTTGCTATTATCCCCGTGGTTGACAGACAGTTTTGGGATCCAAATTGGGCTATACTAAACTAGGATAACAATTTGAAAATTTCTTTAACTGGTTCACGAAATTATAGAATCAATTTCACTATTTTGTTTTATCGTTGGTACTTAGTTAACTTTTCAGGGAATTGTAGGCTATTTTGTATACTTATCTACCTACTATAGTACCTAATGTATATTCTTATAATATCAGAAACCGCTTGAGATAACCTTTCACCCACAGACAAAACCCCAGGCAGAAAACTGTACTTATGTAGTTCATAACATAACATCACGCCTTTTATCCCCGAAGGGGTAGGCAGAGGTGAACATTACGGCACTTAATGCCACTGTACAATGTTATTATTATTTTAACCAATTAAGGAGTCGAACTCCTGACCATTCGACCATCAAAGACGGTTTTATAAAAACAAAAACTTCTTAAAAACTAAATTTTAATAAAAGAAATCACAATAATGATACAATTGATATTTTTAATAAGTTTTTTTAATTATTAAGTATTTTTATATAATATAAAGAATAAAATATTCGTTGAAAGCAGTCTTATGTACAATTTGAAGATCTATTAACTAAATATTAAATACAAATATTAATGTATTTTCATCCCAAAAGGGGTAGACAGGGGCACAAGGGGACTACCGCATTTTTGCTCACCACATGACGCTACTGTGAACCTCTCGTTATTCGTCCAATACCGAATTAGCTAGTCACATAATTAGGTATTTTCCTCAATCAAAAATAAATTATTTCGACTGTTCAATACAATACAATATTAAAAAATAATTACATAACATAACATCACGCCTCTTATCCCCGAAGGGGTAGGCAGAGGTGCACATTATGCCACTGTACAATGTAACACCCACTGTTCACTATTTATGTTATGAGTCCCATGTAATAGGGGTGAGCCTATTGCCATATACCGGGCTCATTTCCAGACTCCGTGGTACTACTGAGATTTTTAAAAACCCAGTAATACTTTGCCCGACCCGGGGATCGAACCCGAGACCCCTTGCCCGGGCAAACGCACTTGCGACCACTCGGCAGTCTGTATGTAGTTCGTGATAAACAAAAAACAAAAACACTGCAAACATTCAACGTAAAAGTCATCAAGAGTTAAAACCTCTTCGGGCCATTCCGTTTCACAACCACAACGGCTGCGGCCGCCATGACACATTGTCTCTGGTTGCGCAACCCCCTGCTACATCCTTCTGTGACTCACCGTAATAACTTTGGTCTAGTTCACTCCATCCGTTTGGGGATTTTTTTGTTACTACATCTTCTAAACTGACGTTGGTGTTGGTCAAGTATGTTTGGTAATTTATTAACATTGGAGTTTTGGTTGAATATGTTTTCAGTCCACTTCAAAAGAAAAATAAGAGGTTTTCAGTTTGATTTGTATGTTCAAAATATAAACAGTTTCTAGTATATTAATTAACCGACTTAAATAAAAGAGAGATTTATTTTTAAGGGGGTAAAATCATCGAATGACTTCTCCCGTCTGGGTGAGGCGGGATCCCTCCCGTGTGTCAGACTCTTACTGACTACAATCCACCCCGTTCCTACTCCTGCCCTTCGAGCCAGAGTCCCGGCAACCTGTTAAGTCTCTATGTCCCGTTAAGTCGTCCCGTTAGATTCCAATCAATAGGATAAATCTTTTATAAACCACGTTTAAAAAACCGACTTTAATCCCCTCTTTTGGGATCGCGGGATAATATTCGGCCACCGTAAGCGCGGGCCTGCGGACGGCGAGCATGGGTAGCTCGCCGCCCGACCAGAACCAGACCCCAGCGTGAAGCGCGTCGCGCGCGCTTCAAAGAGCCATTAAACCACCACGGATGGGGCCCAATAGGGTTGATGCCGATATGGAGCCGCGGAAGACTTAACGGGTTGCCGGGGCTCCGGATCAAAGAGCAAGAGAAGGAACGGGGTGGTTTTTAGTCAGTAAGAGTCGAACACTCCCTCCCACCTCACCCAGACCGGAGAAGTCATTCGATGATTCTCCCCCTGAAAAAACCCTCTTATTTAAGTCGGTTAATTAATATACTTACTAAAATCTCCTACTAAGTATAACAAACACTTTACTGAAAAACGCATCAAAAACGATTCAACCAAATGCGTAATAATCACGTACAAACATACATATGTATCCATACATACAGGTAAAATTGAGAACATCCTTTACTTTTTGAAGTCGGTTAAAAATACACACGGATATGCCTCACACATCAGTTTGATGACAATTGTATAACGTGGCGGCTATGGGTCAATGAGCAGCGGAACGGGGTCGCCAGTGACGTCAGAGTTACCGTGCTATGACGTGACGTCACGCTTAGTTGCTTTTAGATCCGGATTGGGAGATTTGTGCTCCTATTGTGTTATGTTAGGGTTGCTTTTTCTTTAAAGGGGTCCAGGAAAAGCTTATTTTAAATGCAAGACTAACTTTCACCAGTTTTGACAGCTGTGAGTTAGCTGAGCTGAGCCTAGGACCAGGGTGCTTACTCTTGAATCCAATTCCGATCGATCGACATTGACATTGTGAAATTTCGTACTCTTGAGTTGTAACACTAGCGCCGTTTGCATCCGTATTGCGTGGATATTTCATGAACTAAATGGTATTAAGTTTGGTTTTATATTCCGTACTCTAAATGCTACTTTAGCAGTCACGATAGGGGTTGTATAGTTTTGAAATTGGATAATTATTGAGATTTTATTGGATTGAAATTGCATTGACATTGAGATTGGTTTCAAGAGTAAGCACCCTGGTCGGTTGTTGAACCTTTGTCCACTCAAGCAACGAGCCAAGAGCGAGTACAAAAACTATACGTAATACCCACACCACGAATCAGAATTGGGAACTGTAAATCCTGTGTCCTCAAACGTTAAAATAAAATAAAATAAGCTATTATTGCTGTAGTCACCAATAACAAAAAGAAAACAGTAACAAAGAGATAAGAAATAAAGCAAACTTAAAAACTACGCTAATAAGTATAGTAAGCTGCGGAAGACCTAACGGGTTGTCGGGGCTCCGGATCAAAGAGCAAGAGGAGGAAAGGGGCGATTTTTAGTCAGTAAGAGTCTTAATAGTCCCTCTGCCTAACCCAAGTAGGGAGAAGACAATGTATGATTTTCAATCCTCAAAAAAAAAAAATTCGCAGCAATCGGTTTCTCTCCAGCACACAACAGCTTGTCTTTCGACAAATTCCTCTAAGGACCTTTAAGGACTGCTACTTCTTCTACCGTCTCTAGGGTACCATTCCGTTATTATTCTGGTCCATTTCTCACTCTCCTCTTTCAGCATGTATGTCCTGCCCAACACCTATTCTCACAGCACGTTAAGCACTAGAAATGGGAGCTAGATATCTGACCGAAGTCTAGACGGTAGTAAACCTAAATACTTTCAATACACATTAGACATTCAAGACTAAACACTTCAAATTAATTGTACATTCAAATCTCGTTCTCAAATAACGGAAATTTTTAGACAAACATTGGTGTATTTGTGTCAATCATTGGCCTTGTTTGCAAAGACTTGGCTAAGGGATCTGTGGTAAAGAAAACCACTTAGATTAAACTGTCAAACACCAAGCGGTCACCGGTGAGCGCAACCTATTGTTCTATAATTGTGTCTATAATGACGGTACTCGACGAGTTAAGTTACTACCTCTAGTGCCAAGTTTTTTTAAGGGATAAGCCGGGAAACGAGCTTACGGATCACCTGATGGTAAGCAATCGGCGTCGCCCATGGACACCTGGAACACTAGAGGCGTTACCAGTGCGTTACCGGCCTTTTGGGGATTAGGAATTTGAGTGTTGGTGATTCAGTGATAGGGGAAAATGGGGAGAGTAATTAGGCCTTCAGTAACCTCACTCATACGACGAAACAAGGAAGTGTCAAATTGCATAGGTATGTGATAAAAAGATATGAAAATTATGTGATATAATGCACTTGTCACTTCTCTAGTGGTCCGCCGATTGCTTACCATCAGGTGATCCGTCTGCTCGATTGACTTCTATAACTACTTATTAGTATAAACTGTGTTTTTTTGAACGTGCTAATCTCCGAAATTACTGGTTTTAATTAAATTATTCTCAGTCACCAACTCAAATTTCAATCTACTCACAGAAATTCGTAATATTACTTATTGTTACATTATTTTTAATCATAATTTGTAGATATCCCTACAAAGAGTTTTTGCCATACCACATAATCAAATCTTGAATACATATCCGTGAACACTGTGCAGTGAAAACCAAAATAATTGTATAACCGATGACTATACACTGCCTAATTCATAATTTCTACTTACCATGCGCAAGCGCTGGTCAGGCACAATAGCCAGTTACCTAATTTACTAACATTATGGTATTCTATGTGGCACACGGTGTCAGTTGAATGATAAACACATAACTGACCACTTCGCACGTGGGTAATTTTGCATGTAGCATTGTAGGCCTTCTAGGTGATCAGTTGTGGTCTGGACCTAGCCTAGTTCTTATATTATCGCGGTTTGTTTAATAATGTCATTATTACATTCATCTGATGTTGGTAGCCTGCTTCACATAGATTTTCATTGGAAAATGATTATATTGACTCGATGTGAGCAAACTTCTTTAGGTTTTTCAATATTTATCTTCTTCAGGGCTTCGTGAGAACAAGTTCTGAATGTGACACTCATTTTTAACCCTCCTAGACGTATATAAGTAGATAGGTTAGAGGCAGCAGCAAGCAAGATACTTCTTAAAATCTGGAACTGCCAGTTTCTGTCTACCACAAACACTATGCCTGAACAACGATATTCTAATTTTTTAACAACATACAAAATTTATATAGTAGACTAATTTCTGTTCATAAAAATTAAATAAAGCAACAGTTCTTTGACCAAACTAATGCTATCTTCATTTGTTCCAGGTACAAACAACAACTACTTAAATGTGAAAACAATTAAAAAAAAAACAATAAAAAGTGTCGAAGTGTAAGTGATGTGAACAATAATGTGGACTGGTATGGACTACGTGTAGTTTCCCGCCAAAACAAGATGGCTGCCGTCATAAAATGGCGGCCTAGACGCTTAGGCGCCATGTTGCTTATTTTATTTATACAATTTGTTAATGGTAAGTGCTTTTTTTGATTGTTTCTTTCTATCTTCAGGTGGATTTTCGATGGTTTTGAAACGTAAAATGTAGGTGTAATAACAACTTCTACGTGTTTCCATCCTTTTGATCTCCCTCACAATAGAACAGGCAGAATAGACAAGACATTTGTTTTTCATGTCGGTTTTCCCACAAGTCAAGTTATATGTTGACAGTTGTAGCCACTTGTGGGTTTAACTAAGTCTTAGCCAGATTAGGCTAAGTGACAGAATACTGCAGGGTAGTAGGCATGGCCTTTCTTGAATCTTACTTAGCCAGATTTGCTAAGGGTGATACCATTTTCGTACTACCATAAGAAACTAACGTGTTACATAAAGATTCATTTCAAAAACCATACCTCCAAAGAAAGTTAGAAAAGAAAGAAATGGCGCATGGTTTATTGTATGCAGTTCAGCAGTTTCGGAGATGTGACGCAACAGACATACTTTCACATTCGTTACTTAATGAGTAACATTAAGTCATGTCATACTCTTGTTGTTCAGAAGTTAGTATTCGTTGTAATTGTTTTTTTTTCTTCTTTTTTTAAAATTAATTAATAATTATACAGGCGGTTACGGTTTGGTCTATTTTTTTTAAGTAGCATTTCTACCTCATTGGTCATAATCTGTTTGTTTGACAACATTTGCGTTGTTCCGAGTGAGTCAGCTTACTGGTCTCCGGTTTCGAAAACACTATGACCAAAAGTTTGAAAAGTGTCATAAAATTTAGCAAATAAGTATGGTATAACGGCCGAAATTAGTAATCGATAGGTTTTTGACATAAGTTTTGTGGAATTGCTGTCAAAAACTAGATGAGTCTTATTATTATCTGAATTTTGGATTATGGTCGGTTATCAAATTAATTAAATTCTCTGAATTCCCAACAATCCTCAAATTCCTTATCCCCAATATGCCGGTAACCCACTTGTAACGCCTCTGGTGTTCCAGATGTCCATGAGCGGTGCCGATTGCTTACCGTCAGGTGATCCGTCAGCTCGTTTACCGGCTTATTCCATAAAAAATAGATTCCAGTAATTGTATAATCACTGAATTAAAACTCTTTTACACCTTGTTACCAATCAAGGCTGTTCGAAGCTTACAGTTCACACCAAAGTCAAGGTCCCGCGTTCGATAACCTCGTGTGTTGGATAAAATATCTTCAATCACTCAAGGCTACAATATGTATTGTTAAAAGATATTAGAACGTTTTGGTTTTCTCTGGACTTCCACGATTATTCTAGACCAAAATTAGTCAAATCGGTTCAGCCGTTTTCGAGTTTTAGCGAGACTAACGAACGGAAATTCAATTTTATTTATATTATATATTATATTAAGTGTGGCAGAGCCATGCTTCGGCACGAATGGGTCGGCTCGACCGGAGTGATACCACCAACGAGCAGAAAACCGACGTGAAGCAACGCTTACGTTGTCTTTCGTCGTTTGAGTGAGGTTACCGGAGGCCCAATTACCCTCCCCTTCCCCAATCTCCCCAATCCCTGAATCCCCGTCGATCCTCAAACTCCTAATCCCCAAAAAGCCGGTAACGCAATTGTAATGCCTCTGGTGTTCCAGGTGTCCATGGGCGACGCTGATTTCTTACCATCAGGTGATCCGTCTGCTCGTTTACCGGCTTATTCCATAAAAAATAATAAATAAATAAATATAGATTTTACTATCATCACGCCTTTTTGTCCCCGAAGAGATAGGCAGAGGGACACATTACGACAATTAATTAAAGCTTCATGCACATAATTGTACTCTGGGTAGACTTAATACCCCATTATCTTCTAGTCTGACCTTAGGATGATGCAGGGAATATAAACGGCGTGTGCAAGGACCTAGTATAGATATAAAATGTGACGTCTAAAAGCTCTAACGGCTACGCTTCTCAAGTCGGCAAAATTATTGCTAAATTACCACGGTTGGTACAGAGACTGGTGACTCATTGCTATGCAACGTGTTGTGTTTTTGATTGACGGAACAACTCTTTGTGTGATCCACAAATTGCTGTTCCACGTCTGCTTCTTAATCACGACAATCACAACACAGGGGAGTTAATCCAAAAGCAATCAGGCGCCGCTCATGGACAATAACAACTATAAAGGAGTTTACAACTTTGAGGAGTGGGGGATTGGGCCATTGGTAACCTCACTCACATGGCGTGACCAAACAGTTTAGAAAGAAAGAAGAAAGGAAGAAAAACACTTTATTTCACGCCAAAAACAAATGACAAATACAGATCATTGTCGCGGAGAACCTAACGGGTAACCGGGGCTCCGGCTCGAAGTGCAGGAGAAGGAACGGGGTGGTTTTTAGTCAGTAAGAGTCTGACACAGTCATTCGATGATTATCCCCCCCTTAAAGAAAATACAGATAATTTGTTCTACTAGTAGGAACTGATGGATACATGTCCATATCCCATAGTCTGCCGCGAAATGGGATCAGTTCAGCATGTGCAAGACAGGGCTTTGCGCTGGTATACTACTGGTCCCTTAAGTGACTCATTTGGTTGTTTCTCGCCAGTTTCTTGTGAGGCCGTCGTATCACTCTGATTTAACCGTACCTAAGCGTGCTTAAGCATGACTCTTTCGCTTAAAAACTGCAGCTGTATTTATGCTACTGATAGTAGTAAAAAAACTTATATTACATTACAAAAACAGTTAATTTCAGTTAGCAAATACGACACGAAACTGCTGAAACAGTGTAGTGTATATAAAAAATGGAAAGTCCATCTCTTTGGCAGTGAAAGTACTTGGATTCCTACTTGGTGGCACACCTCTCGTGTTGTGCGAGTGACTTAGTAATTGTTAGTGTATCTTTGTATATTGCACGATATATGATGTGGATTATTTATTTAGTTCATTGTTTAATTATCTACTTATTCGTTGATCGAGTGGAAATTATTGTAACTTTATTTTTTTTATTTAATGGAACAAGCCAACCGCTACCTCCCAAAGCCGCTGCACCTCCTGTAAGCCAGGATCTACAGTAGATACAACCATGAAAACATCGGAACACTGAAGTCCGGCCCGTCCCAGGAACATGAATAACTGTCTTGGTTCCCGCAACGAAGTGAATCAGAAGATATTATAAGAGGAGAAGAAAAAAAACGACAGTTTCCACTTCCGTGTCGGTAAAATTATTGTAACTGTTGAGCAAGGGGTTTCAGAGGGGACAATGTTATATGTGTTTTTATTCCACATATACTATACTATACCCTGACTGCACAGTTGGCACGGTGACTCGGTAACCGGCGGCCACGCAACGTATACCGGGTTCTATTCCCACACTGAGCAAATTATTGTGTGATCCATAAATAGTTGTTTCGGGTCTGGGTGTCATGTGTATGTTGTGTGTCGCCTCGGTGCTTCGGGTGTCCATCGGCGGCGCCGATTGCTTACCATCAGGTGATCCGTCTGATCGTTTACCGGCTTATACTATAAAAAAAATATATTATCAATTACAATAAGAAATTGGTCAAGTTCGAGAATGTAATAAAGATCGCGTGTTTGGAGACTATTTTTATAGTTATAGCTATTTAACATACAATAATAATATTATTTTGCGCAAAACATTTGCATTGGAGCAAGGTATATTTTTATTAGAAATAGGGACAAACGAGTTAGTGGAAATCTTGATGGTAATTGGTAAGTATAAGTGTGGGAGAGCCATGCTTCGGCACTGCTGGGCCGGCTCGACCGGAGCGATACCACGGCCGAGCAGAAAACCGATGTGAAACAACGCTTGCGGTTTGTTTCGTTATGTGAGTGAGGTTACTGGAGGCCTAAATACCCCCCCTGAGAAGGAGCTTCAATCTCTGAATCTCCAACAATCCTCAAATTCCTAATTCCTGCAAGGCCGGTAACGCATTTTTAACACCTCTGGTGTTCCGGTTGTCCATGGACAACGCCGATTGCTTACCATCAGGTGATTCGTCTACTCGTTTACCGGTTTATCCCACACCCACAATAAAAGAAGCGTTTGGGCCTAAATAGTAGTACCTAACTAACCATAATCACGCGGCAAATTATAAATTCTGTCTACCCCCTACTTTAGATACCATAACAGCGTAATATTAAAACAAATAGCTAAATACACTAAAACTAAACGGTATTGTTTTATTCATTAACTTGTAAGTGGCGTCAGTAAAACATAAATAGTCAGCTAACGGGACTACAACCTACATACCTGCTGTCGACAGCCGCGCCTTATAACATCTTTACAATCTTTGTGTTTTGTACTGTACTGTATTTGTCTACTTGTAGGTTTAGTGGTTAGACGTGAGACTGTTCAGAGTGTAGTCAAAAAACAACAAACCAAATATGTAGCTTTTTTATCATCTTTTTTGGCAACCGAGTCTTCAATACGATGTTGTCGACTATACTGCCAGTGTCGGATGGTGACGGCAGATTAATGAACCATCGAACTTAACTTTGCGGTAGGTTTTAGTAGTTAGTAGCTTAAAGGACAAAACAATTGGGTTAGTAAACATATAAATATTAACATCTATTTTACTGTAAGGGTGAAGAAAATAGTTGAGGGAACGTACACAATACAGACACACAGATATATACACCATTTACATAATAGTCACCGTCATAGTTTAATCTCATTATCATTAATAAATCTACATAAAGAATGGATTAATTTAGGGGAAAAGTGAGTTAAAAGGAGGTGGAAATTGATTGGAAGTGGGATTTGGATACTGGGGAGTTATTTGCTGAACAAAGGTGTTGTAGTACATAGTGACTTATTTTTTGAGGGGGGAAAATCATCCGAATAACTCCTCCCGCCCGGGTGAGGCGAGAGGGAGTGTCAGACTCATACTGACTATAAACCACCCCGTTCCTACTCCTGTACTTCGAGCCGGAGCCCCGGCAACCCGATAAGTCTTCCGCGGCTCCGTATTGGCATCAGCCCTGTTAGGCCCCATCTGTGGTGGTCTGATGGCTCTTTACATTGGGATACTTCGGCCCATTTGGG